TGAACTGAGAAGTCCTAGCGACACACAAGGGGTTAGGGCCACACCAGTGAGAATACCATTTGGATCCATGCTGTTCCAAGCAGTTGCCCAATCACCCGGTCAAAGATACTTGATCCAGAACTCCATCTAGATTGTTTTCTCCTTCAGTCTCTTCAATAGTCTCTGGATCATCTTGAATTCCCCCTTTTCATGTCCTGTTTCTTCTCTTCTGACTGCTATTTCTTTTAGAGGCCGTACCCTGCCTTGCGTACTCTGGTGCCTGAGCCTTCTAATTTTCCTCTGCTCAGTATTTTACCTGACCTTCTGTCATTCTGCGCGTGATTTCCCCACCTCTCACCCATATCATCTGTAGGGGATAGAGTAGCAATGGCTTGTTGTAACCTGAACAGTTTGCTTGTGTTTTGCATGTATAAACCAATTAGCTGTGAAGTGTGCTGAAGTATTTCAGTATGAACAATATTTTACAAGAATAAATTGGTTTGTACTTACCATTTCAATGCCACTGGCAAAGAGTGTTACGATGGAACGTCAGGAAGGTTTTTCAATATGTATGGCAGATTAAATGGTCTGCAAGATAACTATATTTATTAGCGCTTAAGTAAAAATTATACTGAAAAATTCATAGCCTTTTCTTTCTGTGCTGCCTGCATGACACATTAATTTTCAAGCAGTGACAGAATAACCAGGCTCTATATAGCCAATACAAGGATAGAAGTGCCAGACTTTGAGTGTACTAATGTTTAAATTATCTATAGCTGCATGCTGACAGACTGAGCAATGGTGAGTTGTCTCTGGTTGCAGGACTCCTTTTAAAAATCAGTTTGCTGCACACTTTTTCTTTTCAAGAAAATTTGGCTGTATAGCTTTTATCTGTGAATCTGTGTAATTAAAAAAAGAAAGCTTTGCCAACTCCCTGCTGTCAGATTTTAAAATGACCAATTAGATTCCTCAGGTTTATGCTTGAGTATACATTTATTTTCAGTCCGGGGAATTTTTAATGCTGTACCTCTGTACCAAAAAAACAAGCTCTCAAAGGACCTGTTCATAAATGTGTGAATGGAGTGCAGACAGCCATCCAAATGGCTTGTGAGAGGAGCTGTGTAAGACTGTAATATAATTTGAATTAATTAAGCTCCCCTTCCCCTTTTGCATTTAGCTTCCATAAGCTTTTGTAGTCCTTTTCTTCATAGTGGAACAACCCTGTGGCTGTATTCGCAAATATTAAACTGCTCATGTGTGGTGACTAAGATCTGTTTTCTAAAAACATAGGCCAAGTGCCACCAAAAGCAAAGAGGACTTTAAAGAAGAGTTCTTTCCTATTTCTCTTCTAAAGTGCTCCATAACTCCTGCTTGTTCCATGTAGCTTATATGTTACAAGACCACAACCAACTACACTCTCCTCTACTTGTTCTGGTGTTGGAGCTCTTCACTGAGATGGCAAAGCAAATGGTGTGACATGCTGGGTAAGCATATTGGCCAGATGTTTCTGCTAAAATGCCTGACAGTGGAATTGCTCAGTGCTGACATTTAAATGCGGATGGCCACAGAATTGAAAGCAGAAAAGGGACCACTGAGCTGCAGATGAGGGGAGCGTGCACCATACCGAGTTGCTTGCAGACTCAGGAAGGCACTGTGACATTGGATACTTCTGTTCACAAGGGGCAGGTTATCTACAGATGATGTCAGGGCCCCAAAATGACTGGAGAATTTAGGAGGTTCCCTGGAACTTGATAGAAATTATCTAGAACAGTGACACTTAGTCTGGACTGGGTCAGGAGTCACACGAACAGTCGGGTACAACCAAGGAGACCAACACTGTCTACACCTGTATTTGAACTGTGGCCAAGAACTACCTGTTCCAAAACAAAAATGTTGGTACAAGATAGAGACAGACAGTGCATATGTTGCATTATTCATGACTAGGAAAGGCGTATCCACTGCACACAGTACAAAAGAATATGCTTTGACAACACTTTGTGCCAAAAGCTGCAGGTGACAAGTTGACGAGCCTCTTGTGGCTAAGGAGCTAGAGACTGAATATTACTGCTCTAGAGCTAGCTTGGCACAGCTGCACTATGTTGGATCACTGCATTCCTGTTTCTTCTTATTGTATTGTTAAATCTGGCTAGATTCTATGTATAGCACTAGGACAGCATGTTATAACTGCACAGAGAAGATCCAACAGGGTGCTGCTCTATTTAGTCATAAAATGCGCTTGCTGGTAAATTCCCAAAGAGTGTTAATATTTGTTTCTGGGAAGAATCAATTGCCTTGTGCCTCCTGTAAACAGAAGTAGAGCATGGAAGGACCTTCTTTATCACGTCATGGCTCCAAAGAGGGAAAAATGAAGCCTGGGAGTATTTGTATGGAAGGTGGACTGTTCTCCACTCCTGCTGGCATTTGAGATGAGTACAAAGTTGCTGACAAATGGATAATGAAGAATCCAAAGAAACATCTGCTGGGAAAATATTACAAAGCAGGACCACTGTATATGTTTCCATTGATTATAAAGATATATATGAATAATATTTAGTACTTAAATCCAAGCCATTTTCCAGAGATGACAATGTAACCCTTGGAACAGGCCTGTAAAAGAGAGCTGGAAAAACTAAGGCAGGTTGCAATTAGTTTGAATTTACACTGTGGTGTTGTCAATGGCAGGATTAGAAACTGAATTCCTGGCTCCAAATCCTATGATCAGACCACAAGGCCATGTTTATTTAAGTGAATCTAAAACTCTTCATATGATGATTTTTCAAATTAAGCACAAAGTTCGGGCAGAACATTTTGTTTAGTAAATATTATAAATAGAGGTTAGATGGCCTCAACTTTTAAAGCAGTTGTATTTCCAAAAGGACATTCAGGCAGGAGATGCTGATTTTCACATGGTTTATATATAGTAGGCCTCTGCAAATAGGGAAGTATTCAATTCAGATTCGGCTGATTCAGAGGACAGTGATTCGATTTGGTGATTTGAATTACTGTCCCCATTCGATTCGGCCAAATTGGTTTTGAAAGATTCGGTGCTGATTTTGGAGAGATTCGGCGATTTTTGGATCGGCTGGGGAGAGGCAGGCACAGCCGGGTGGCTGCAGGTTCTCCTGTGGATTCTCTAGCTGTGCCTGCCTCTTCTTAGGCGGGGGGGGGTGGGGGGGCACAGGAGAAGCCCCCATGGATGCCCTGCCCAGCCCCA